CCACCTCACTACCTGCTCACCAAACCCCTACTTGATCAAACGTTGTGGTTTGAGGGCTTGGAATGGGGGCGTGACCTTCCAGCAACTGGGAGGACCCCGGGTGGGGGAAAAAAAAAGTATTCCCTCCCCTTCCCACACACACTCTGATAAGAGGCAGGGAGTGGGTGCTAATTTCACTCCTGCCTTGGAGCTGGGAGAGGGAAGTTGTCCTTTCACTCCGTGGGACCTTGGAACTTGTCCTTTCACTCCGTGGGACCCCGAGAACCATTTCTGAGGGTTTTGTCTGTTTTATTTTTTGTATTTTCCCCTCATCTTTGTATATATTATTTTCCTCACCTCCCTTTTTCATTTTCTATTCCTTGTTCAACAACATCCTTCATTTTTTTGCTCCCAAAGTGCCTCTCTCTCTCTCTCTCTCAGGGGAGGGAGCAGAGGCGAGTCCATCGTTCCGTGCGCGTCCTGCCCCGAACCCCTTTTTACACAGAACCAGGACACCAACTGATCTCCCAAAATGCTGTGGGAGAGATGGTGTCCAAGGTGTGGGTGCCTGAGCCCCACCTTGCCCATGGTGACTGCAGTCTGCACCCTGGCTGCCACGGCGTCCACCCTGGCGCTCATGCGCAGGAAGTTGATGGCCTGGTTCTTCTGGCGGATGGCGTTCTCCGCGTGGATCCGAGCCACCTCCATGTTCCCCTTCTGGATGGCCTGGGGAAAAAAAGGGAAAAAAAAGTTAAAAAAAGGTATTTTAGACTCCTCTGCTCTTGTGAAGACTGTTTCTGAAGGTTTCATTTTGGAAATAAGCATTAGTTCATCACAGAATCTTTCTTATGAAGAGAGGAACAAACCGCTCCTTCCTCTCCTCAATAATCCTCCAACTTCTTCAAGATGTGAAGCCCAAACTTCATTCCAGAGGAGGTATGGAGTAGGAGGTTCTACAGAGCTACAAAAACACCTTTTTTTCTCACTAATTTAGCATATTTCCAGACATATTTGCAGTATCAAGACCCAAACACAGGCAGCGTGGCTGGAGCTCATGGAGAAAAAGAGTCAAACCAATTTATCCTCTCTCTTTATGGCTTCAAAAACTATTTGAAGTTCTTCTCTGTAAGCCCTTTAAACAGAAGATTCTAAAAATGTAACTTGGAGAACAACAGTCTCTAACCAAATAACCTTCTCAGGAAGGAAATGCCACCAGCTGCCCAAGAGGACACAGAGGAACGTGTCCTCCCATGGATTAATAAGCATGGGAAGGTTTGGAAGGATGTTGTTTTAAATCACAAGCATCTATAACAAGCTCATGGACAAAAAGAGTCAAACCAATTTATTTTCTCTCTTTATTACTTCAAGGACTTGAACTCCTTTGAAGTTCTTCTCTGTAAGCCCTTTAAACAGAAGATTCTAAAAATGTAACTTGGAGAACAACAGTCTCTAACCAAATAACCTTCTCAGGAAGGAAATGCCACCAGCTGCCCAAGAGGACACAGAGGAACGTGTCCTCCCATGGATTAATAAGCATGGGAAGGTTTGGAAGGATGTTGTTTTAAATCACAAGCATCTATAACAACATTATTAGCCTGCACACCAGGAAAATGTTCCAAAAAATCAGATTTTTCTTGCTCTGATATGTAACCAGCCCTCAAGAGCTCGTTTCAGACCCATTGCTCACCTTTTTAATCTTGGCTTTCTCAGCTTTTTCCTCTTTGTCGCATTTTTTGGAGTTCCTGTTGAGTTCCTTGGCAGCAAACTTCAGATTAAAGAGATGTTCTGGGGGCAAGTTAAGGGTTCAAGAAATAGGATCCACCCTCTGGGGGCAGAATTCTCCTCTCCCATTTGAAATGCCACCAAACCCTGTGTGGATTGTTTCCCCAACAGTGATATTGAAACTGGGAATGTGTTATTGAAGTAAAGCCCTTGAAATTCACACCAAAGCCTTCAATTATAATACTTAATAAATTAATAAATGAACTTATAATCATGAGAGACTCGAGTCTCAAGCCCTCAGAGTTAAGCATCACTGAGAGGCTCAAGCTTTTCATGCACAAATACCAATTAATTCCCCCCACTCTTCAAATGCTGCTGATAATAACTCAATAATATCAGTTTTTCTCAAACAAAACGAAACCACAAAGCTTCAGAAGCCTCTCTGATGTCCCAAGAGGAAGGTGCAGCAAGAACTAAGAGGCTTCACAGATAAATGACAGCACAGAAAGCTGAACTCAGTGAGCTGCTTGAGGTTTCTTTGATATTTCCAGCACATCACTTACTCCAGGACTGGGTTTTATCCTGTAAAGCCCAGTTGTGAATCTCAGAGCTCTGCAGGAGCCCAAAAGTGTCAGGAGCTGTGCAGAGCCAGAAGGTCTCCCCTCAACCTCCTCTTCTCCAAACTAACCACCCCCCAGCTCCCTCAGCTGCTCCCCACAAGCCACATCCCCCAGACCCCTCCCCAGCTTCACTGCCCTCCTCTGGACCCACTCCCGCCCCTCAACATCTTCTCCTGTGTGTGCCTCCCAACCCTGCCCCAGCCTCAAGCTGTGGCCTCCCCAGGGGCACAATCCCTTCCCTGCTCCTGCTGGCCACGCTGTCTCTGATCCAGGCCAGGATGCTGGTGGCCTTCTTGGCCACCTGGGCACATCCCCACCCCCAGGTCCTTCTCCACCAGCTGCCCACCACTCGCACCCACCGCACGGAACCCGCGTTCCAGAGCGGTTTCCTTCCAAACAACTTCCTCAGTCCCTCCCTCGGGGCACTCCCCTGTGGCCCCGCGGCAGCTCAACCCCTCACCTCCACCCTCCCAGCCCTCGCTCCTCCCCTGGAGCCTCTCAGCCAACCGAAACCCAACTTCCAGCGCTGCCCGTGACTCAGAGTCACCCGCTCCAGCT